TTCCCTGTAAGTTAATTTTTTTTGGCCTCAATGTTAGATGGGCCTGGGGCTTTGCTGAGTATTATAATTAGTGTTAATTTTAGTAAGACGGAATGAACCACAGAGAACTGTATTTGGTTATGAGGTTTATTTTTGCTCTCTTGTTGTAAGAGTTCTTGATTCTTTGCATTGCAATAAGCAAATTCATCTGAATGCATTGCGATATTCCCTTAATCCACTTAAATCTTGCCAATAGGAACCTGAACTCCATAGATACCCTTTTAAATTTTATTTATTTATAATTATGTTTGAAACACTGGTCCTGAGATGTCTGTTTGAAAAGAAAAGAAGAGAAAAAGAAAATGGCAAGGAATAAATTAACAAAACTACTCTGCATCTCAGATTGCTGTCCCAGTTGTACCGACCATTCGAGTTGTTGTTACCTTTACAAAGTTTGAGGAGCTTCCGCCATTAGAAGAGGAGTTTTCAACCCCACCCTCAAGCCCTACACATTTCCAAGATGCTAAATCTACAGATTTCGAGAGTTCCACTTCATGGTCTACATGGCTTAAAAATCAGGGTGAGCAATCTCGTGAAAGCGAAAGCGAAAGCTTTCAAAATGAGTTTGACCCATTCCAAATACCATCTGATTATGCCTGGGTTGATGCCAAAGAAAAGAAACGAAGGAGGAAAGCTGCTAAGAGAGCGAAGCTCAAGAAACAAAGAAAACAGAGTACCACTAGGAATCCTGATGGAGGAGGAGGGCGTAAAACAAGGGAGAAGGCTGAAAGCTAGGTGAACAGAAAAACTTGCTGTTACTCGTAGCAGGAAGAGAGGTAAATGGCATTTCTTACACATCTAATCTAATTTCATCTGCTTATGTTATTCTCAAAGACGTTCAACTAAAATTTCCGTTACTGGTTTGTTACTTGATACTTCTAATGAATGGAAGAGCCTCTTAAAAGTAAATAAACACGGAATTTTTGCAGAAGGAGCATCCTAGTCATTTGTACTCTTTTGGTGGAAGCTTATGCAGTTGATGAATACTTAAAACACATACAAGTAATATGTAATTGTTGTAATCCATTACAATACATACCTCTCTGCTCAGTGCTTCCTGTAAATATGTTGTAATCCATTACAATACATACCTCTCTGCTCAGTGCTTCCTGTAAATACTAAAAAAACAAAGTTCAAATTTACCAATGATACAAAGTTTCTGTAAATGGCAGCAATTATAGATTCAATATTCAAAGATGTGATTCTTTCTTAAATGAAACTTGCAACCATAGCACTATTCATCAAGTAGATTGTAACAAGAACTCTTGGTAAGACTGCACATTCCGGCATTCTGGATTCTAATACCGAGTACAGGAAGCCTCCCTCTCCCAGTCTGATACCTAAAAACTTGGCATGCATCATTGCAGTTTCCTGTCTTGTTTAGAGATCACAATGGGCAATGGCTTGGAGCATTTTCGTGCCCAGGTACCATTCATATTCATTCATGTAGGATCTGTAAATAGCTATTCTGTGTGCTGTCTGAGCAGTGGCAATACTGGGAGTGTAAATATGCCAAAATAACATATATGTGGAAAATAGATTTTATATATTGTTCCAGCATCATGACAAAATGGCCAAATATTAGGGCATTTCAATTTCATAATGTGAGCAATTGCAATTAATACCTAAACACATTACATAAACTGACAGAGTCTGATTCAAGAAAGAGAGTTCTGTTCACAACCATTGTGGTCTCAAACACTGCATGAATACATAATTAAGCCATCTAAGACATTATATTCAAAATTTTCATCTCATGTCTCGGCGCCTGTTGTATCGCGTGTTGGGTCGTACTCTATCACGTTGAGGAACAGGCTCCACTCGCCTCTGTCGTTCAGGTGATCGTTGAACTATCTCCCCATTGACAAACAATTCAGCTGTAAAGAAATGAAACACATCATGATTGGCAGCAAGTCATAGTCATTCAATATGAGAATATAAATGAAAGAAACTCAAAAAGCATTATCATAAACAGGGAACAGATACTGGATATTTGTGCTGATTAACACTTAACAGGCTCTACCTGACCCTTTTTTTGGTTAGGGAGTGGAATGATGGGGGCAACAAATCAAGAACAAAATCCCAAACCACAAAGTTCCCTCCCCTATTGATTGTATCAATGAGATCTCATAGTGTCATTTACCATTCATTCAAACGACCAAAAAAAAAAAAAAAAGATTTAATGGAATGACATTGCTTTGACTTTTTACATGGCTTTTATCTTTGGGAATGCTTGATAAACTGAAAACATTCCATGCCATATGAACTGTAAGGTCTGTGTAAACTGTAAAGATACCTATATCCTGGGAGGTGCACCATCATTTCAAATTTAAACAACACAATGATAAATATCAACTAAAAGAAAAGAGTGAATAGAAGAATTGCAAAAAAGAAAAGGGCAAAGTGTTTTTATTGTCATTGCAAGAACAAAAATACAGAAAACAGAGAAAATTCCTAGGAATAGATTAAGGGAGATGCCGAATATTCACCCTTCTATAAGCTAATAGCAAACATATGAAAATGACTAAATCACTAAAGTCAGAGCTTTTTTCTACCGCTTTATATTTGTATTGCTATTTTCATAATATTATTTATGAGAATCAAGATAGAAAGCCCACCAATGAAAGGGAGAAAAATATAAACCTCCAATATTTAATATCCAGACAAGTTCAAATACAGGCAGCAAAGAAATTTATCAGAGGTTATGCTTCTACATATACTGGGCATTTTGTTCTCCATTCAAACACAACTACATTAAAAAAAAAAAGTTGTTTACCTCCATAGTCCTTGTATTCAGGATCAACATATGAATCAGGCAGCACAAACAAAACTCCAGGCAAACCTATCAAATGGAAATCAAGTTTAGATCTCATTTTGATAGCTCAAACACAATGCAATTCAGTTAGCTAAAATGAGAAAGTCCAAACCTTCCATCTTATTTGCAGTCTCTTCGTCCACTTCACAGCCAAAACCGAAGTACCTCTCACAAGAAACATTGTAAATCTTCTTCTTAGCCTCCTCTTCACTGTACAAGCACACTCAACATTAACCAATACACAAAAATTACACACATAAAACAATAACTACAAGTACATATCTACCGGCAAGAGAGAATGCGTATGTACATGAATTTTGTAGGTCTAAATTCGCATAATTGAGTATTTTATATTTACCTTCCTAGGACTTTAGCAAGAGTTTGAATGTAGCAATCGATCATTTGCTGTTTGGCGGCGCCTTCACCGCCGGGCTTATCCATGACGATCAGCCAGTGCTCGTAATCGCAACCGGGGAAAAGCGGAGCCATCTCGGTGGGAGGACGGTCGCTGGACCCGGGATTGTACGGCGGATTTCCGGATCGGTTGACGCGGAGCCGAGCCGGGTTGAAGCGGGCGGGGTTAATCCCATATGGGCTGGAGGAGGGTAGAGGGGAGTGTGAAATGAGAAACGAGGGTTGCGGGGAGCAGCGCACGGCGGGGATATCCGGCTGCTGAGTAATCGACGGCGATGAAGAGGCCGATGAGAGAAGGCGAGCAGTGGAGTAGAAGCGAGCGGCGGTGGGATGAGAGCGACGGAGGGATTCTGCGAGCTTTAGAGTTGCAGCCATGAGCGTGTAGATTGAACGGCCGATGAAGCGATGATCGAATCGAAGCAGTGGAGTGTAAGGGTTTTTGGACCTGGTGGAGTTTGGATTAGGGGTTTATCAAATCAAACCGGAATGGGCAAACTTGTAATTTGCAACTTTAATTTTTATCAAAAAAAACATATTTGGTGCTTGAGTTAAACTTCAAATATTGATTCCAATATTTACTGGCCTAGTTGTAATGAGGTAACATATTGTTCCTCTTTGGTAACATTAGTTAGTTTATCAGTCAATTTTGACTTTTTTGATGACTATTAGTTGTTTGACTTGGTTAAATATTTAATATAAGTGGTTGATTAATTTTTTTTTTTTTTTGTAACAGTTTTGATAAGGAATATATCCCGACTGTAAATGCTGCGACCGGTAATGGAACCCCGACGAGTAAGATACATGGCCCAATCCCGACCCGACTGCGTCTAGTAACCTCTCGACCGGAGGCCTCACCCCGACCGCTCTGCCTAGTGTGCCTGCAAGTCCCAAGTGATTTGCCTCGTCTTTCGACCTCCTAGGGTCGGGTGCTCGGGGGATTGTCGAATTGATAGTCCCTTTGTAGCAGGATTATGTTGACACGTGCTCACAGCTCCTTCAGCCCTCGCCTAACCCTGTGCATGGACGCCACGTACCTATCATGCCGGAGACTCGTGGGTTGTCCCGTCTTAGTCCTTATAAATACCACATTTATTTCTGATAATGGGACTTTTTCACTTACTTTGCTAAGAGGCTTATATGTCCAGAGACTGTCGACCCACTGTTTAAAGTTCCCGAGCTCAAGCACTTAAACTAACAAGTGGCCTGGGTATAGGACCCGAGACCGGGGCCAACCTAGGACTGTACAGTACGGTAGGACAACCCACTGCATATACTTTATTAAGCTTATTATTCCAAAATACTAAAATTAAAAAAAATATGCTAAAAATAGTTTTCCGATAAACTTGTTGAGAAAGTTATTTTGAATGTAATTAGTTATCAACTAATTGCTAATTTACCAAACATCTTTATACAATTAGCTAATGTTATCAACTAACAACTATTTACCAAACACTCTCACTAACCTTTTCGGTTAGAACCGATTAGCTATGAACGACCTAAGCTGGTTTATCACATGGTGATTCTTTATTGACTAAAGTCAAAATATGAGATTTACTTTGTGCACATCATCATTCTTTCAAAAAAGGTTGAACCCCAACTCTAAAGGCTCCCTACACCCGGTACGACATAGCATCTAGGAGGATGTAAAAAAAAAAAAAAAAAGCTTTTGAAGGGCGAAAGTGTAAAATAACTTAAAATGTTGGGCCGTTTCAGAATAGGGAGGAAGCTTTGGACAGTTACAATTTTTACAGTGAGCTAAATTCGAATCGAATTTTATGGCCAGTTGGCTCCACCTACGTCTCAACACTCCAATCCCCTCTTCGATCAAGTTCGGAGCTACTCCACCACCTATACCAGTGTCCGGCAACGACTCCGTAGCCATGGCCAACTCAATCCGAGTCGCCGCCGCTCAGATGACCTCCGTCAATGATCTCGCCACAAACTTCGCCACTTGCTCACGCCTTGTAAAGGTATCCCCCATCCCCTAGTACGCGCACATGTTTAGATTAGTAAAGGTTTGTGTTTATGGATGCTACTTCTGAAGTTGAATTATTAACATTTGATTTCTAAGCTTATTGTTTTTTTGTTTTTTTTTTTTTAAATATACAACTGAGGTTTGTAAGCTTATTGTTAGTTGGATTTGATTTGTAGAGAAACGTAAAACTAATAGAGATTTGAATATTCTGTTTGTAAGGTGCCGAGAAAATCAAATTGAATTATGATTAATATTATACTTAGGGTGTGTTTGAAACCCAGAAAATGACTTCTTCAAAATGTTTTCCGGGTTTCCCGTGTTTGGAGGGAGGAAAATGAGGTCAACAGAAATGAAGTCAACAGAAAATGATGTTGTAGTCAACGGAAAATAAGTATGTTTTGGGGGAAAATGAGTTCGCTTTTTTTTTTGGGAAGTCATTTTCCAATCCTCATGCTTGGTATGTATAGTATATAGTTTGTGTGTGTGATATAGATACACTATATATACACACATACTGTGTATATATATATATATAGATACATACGGTGTATACTGTATATATATACAGCGTATACTGTGTGTATATATATATATATATATATATATATATATATATATATATATATTTACAGTATGTATTTATATATATTTAGATGCTATACACACACACATATATTAAGAGATGTATTTATATATATTTACAGTATGTATTTATTGTGTTTATGGATGCTACTTCTGAAGTCTGAAGGTTATCCATTTGCTGCAAGTGAAGCATAGAAGTAACTTATTATTGTGATATAAGCAATTAGTATTTGATTAATCCAAGTTATTCTTTTGGCTTGGCTCTCATAGTTCAAGTTTAAGACATTTACTCATGAATATAGGGATGTTTTTACTATACATTACGTTTATGAGCCAATAATTTCAGGTCGGTAACTTTCCACTTCTAATCACTACCTTAATTAGGTGTTGATAGTGATATTTTGCAATCACTGTGTAGATTATTTGCCAGTTCAAAACCTATTTAATATTTGTCATGTGTTACTTGCAAAATTTCTGTTGAACAATTGGAAGTTTGGATCTAGATGAGTAAATATTCATGCAATATTCTGGTGTGTTGCTTGGAATTGTAACCACTAGTTGCCTGTCTATAGCTGCACTGGAATTGCGTGATAATGAAATGCCAATGCAAACTGTTGGCAGGTACAAAAGCATTTCAATTTTCATCTGTGTTCTCTTGCACTCATTGTTTTGATAGCGTGCAAACATATAAAGGGACAACAAAGCAACATTCATTGGCCTGGTAGAGATTAATTATATTAATTCTGGTATTTTGTTTTATTTTCAAAGGAAGCTGCTTCAGCTGGGGCAAAGTTGCTCTGTTTTCCTGAAAATTTCTCTTATGTGGGTGCCAAACAAGGGGACAGTCTTAAAATTGCTGAGCCATTGGATGGACCTATTCTTAGAGGGTACTGTTCTCTTGCAAGGTGAGACTCAAGAGAAAAAGCAGGCCTCATATTTCTTCATGGTTATGTGTGTATCCTTTCCACCTATTTTATTCATCTTGTTGCAGAACAATCAGTATAATCAATTATACAAATCATTGTTTGATCACTCACAATACTATTAGTCCTTTTAGTTTGCTTAACTTAATAAAACTTAAATCTCAATTTTTTTTGTTATTGCATATATCGAAATTTTGGCTGCATAGCTCTTTCTTAAGATTTATTAAGAAAGTGAGTGTGAGTTTATGATTCTAGTTAACTGAACTCATATTCTTGCTGTCATTAATTGAAGGGAGTCAAGCATTTGGTTATCACTTGGAGGATTCCAAGAAAAAGGGTGTGGCGATGCACACTTGCGTAACACTCATGTATTGATTGATGATGCTGGAAATATTAGAAGTACATACAGCAAAATGCATTTGTAAGACTTTTGACCTGACTGGAGGATCTGAGTTATAGTTGTGAAAACCTGTGTTTAAAACTTTTCACCACATCATGGATATTTGAAGGTTTGATGTGGATGTTCCTGGAGGTGCAGTTTACAAGGAGAGTAGCTTCACCGAACCAGGCAAGAGCTTGGCATTCCTCAATGCTATATTGAATCTTCTATTTTGCAACAAAAACTCTCATAAAATCTATAGCTTTCTTGTGAATCTATTTCCTACCAATAAGAAGCACAGCAACTTCTTGGAGATTATAACTTGAAGTTTTGAACTTATCAACAAATGAAAAGATTTTGAAGTTCTCAGTTAAGAGTTAAAACATTAATAGTTTTGTTCTCTCTTCATGGATGTCATTGTTGCTTTAGCAGTCAATACTTGACATAATTTGTTGTCTAAGTTATAAAATTTCTGACTGATTTATTCCTATAGGGAAGGATATTGCTGTGGTTGACAGTCCCTTTGGGCGAATAGGTCTGACAGTATGCTATGATCTGAGATTTCCCGACCTCTATCAACATCTACGATTTCACCATGATGCACAGGTTCTTGTATATTTATTTATGTAGATTAATGTTATTGTTGCTATATTGCACACAAGTCTCAAATGCCATTTTACTATCTGCAGGTTTTGCTTATACCTGCTGCTTTCACAACTGCAACTGGTCAGGCACACTGGGAGGTTCTTCTTCGTGCTCGTGCAATTGAGACCCAGTGTTATGTATGAAACTTCCTAGCTTCCTCTTCGTTGTCGGTTGTCACTTCTTCTGTCCCCAGATGGTTCCTTTTTTTTTTTTTTTTTTTTTCCTTTTAGTAGGAAGGAAATGTAGATGTATGATTCTCATGTCTTAGATTGCAGTATATAGAAGTTATTTGGCTCTACAATATTCATCTTTCAGCGATAAAAACGGAATATCCTCTTGGATTTTTTTTTTCTTGTTTACACAATCTTCTTTACCATGTGCCCCTGTATTTTGTGGGTAACTATGATAAATGCTTTGCCAGGTCATAGCTGCTGCTCAAGCTGGAAAGCATAGTGAAAAAAGAGAAAGTTATGGTGACACCTTGATAATTGATCCATGGGGAACAATAGTTGGGCGATTACCTGGTAAGAACTTTTCCTTTTGATCTGGGTTAGTTTATTTTATTTTTCATTTTTTTAATGAGTTTTCTTCATACAAAATATTTATTGTTTTTATGAGAGGCTGATGTGATTTATTATTATTAATTTTTTGGGCCATATGCTAGAAATGATTCTGCCTAAAGATTTTTGCTAAAAGAAATGGCAGACGTGTCTCTGATGTGCTGCTGTTTTGGTAACATGTCAAAGCCACTACTTAATAATTGTATTTTTGTTTTGCAGATCGGTCTTCAACGGGTATTACTGTTGCTGATATTGACTTTTCTCTGATTGATTCAATTCGAGCAAAGATGCCTTTATCTGTGGTAAATATACATCTACTCTACTCTGTTAATTACACTAGAGGCACATATCCTTTACCTTCCTTGCTCACAAACACGAGGCAGTACTCTCATTTAATATTAGACTTTGGAGCTTTGTTTTTTTTCTTTTTGTTTTTAATCTCAATGAGTTCTCCCCTGTTTGTTTTCTCATTATTTCCCTACTTGAATCTGTACCTCTTGCCCTCTTGGATTTTAATGCTAAACATTTCTCTAGAAATGAGCTTCCTTTTAATTTATTTACCATTTTCATTGTGCATATGCTTAACTTTGTACTCTCATACATGTAAAGTCAAAAGTCAAATAGTGCTCCTCTTGTAATTATTAAACTATATATGTATGTATGTATGTATGTATGTATGTATGTATGTATATTCTCCAAATATTTTCTTATTGTCTTGAAATGTTGATTTTGCCAATTGTGCAGTTTGTGCTATGTATGCTATCTTAGTATCTGTGATGCAATTTCACAAGGCCATTTTGCTCCCCCCTGAAAAGATAAAAGTTTACTGTCAAATGTTTAGCTTAAAAAGTTGCCAAATTGACTTTCATTGCAGAATGAAGGGCATCTATGATGAATTTATACATATTTTCTTTTTGTCATTATGATATTCCTATTCTTCTCACTTGAAGTAGCTTCGTTTTTCCAGCACCGAAAGCCTGCTGATTTCTGGAGATCTGCTTCTCTTTGAGTAAGGCCCTCTTTCTAGTTTCGATTTCTGCACCTTTAAGGTGAATTTGCTGCGAAGTTTGGTGTATTATCAAAATATGTCTTTTACAACAAACCTCGGTAGTCATCATTAGCCAAAGGAATTTGTGATGAATTTAAATATTTTTCTTATTTATATTATTGTAACCCCTCATCTACTGTTTAGAGTATTCTTCTGGTTGCATTTGCTCTTCATTTAGTCATAAAATCCTTACATTTGATCTGTACATGTAAACATTTAGTACATTCATAGTGAACATTAGTTCATCAAAATAAAAATCATGGCCAGGAGCCATGTATTCCTTGAAGTGTTGCAATATATTTTCACTACTCTTGACATTAGTTTTGTTTTGTTTTGTTTTGGTTTTTTTTTTTTTTTAGGGTTCCTTTTTTTGTTAGGGGGTGGGGGGAGGTTGGGGTATCAGTTACCTTACTGCCTGTTTTCGTTGAGATCCGGATGAAAAGAACAAAGATAGCCATGAAGCTTCTAGACATCAATTATTGCGAAAAAATAAAAAAGAAAATAATTGAAAAGACAACATAGTCCAATGACACCTTTTGAGACAGACAAATTATTGTGGAGTATTCAGGTAGCTTAACAATAAGCTAATTTTATCAAACACTTTCAATCATAACAGTTAGCTTAACAGCTTTTCAGTTTTCAGATCCGAACTTATAACTTTTCAGCTTTTAGTTCATTTTCAGCTCTTAGTTTATAGCTTTTCAGTTTGGTTTGCCAAACAAAGCCTTAGTAAAAGACAAATTATATATGAAATCCCTCAAGTAAAGTTTTTATTGATAAAAGAGAAAGATAGTAATAAAAATTGTGAATTGTTTTTTTTTTTTTTTTTAATGAGAATAAAATAGAATTTGAAAGTATATATAATATTATTCTAAATCGAAACCAATTGCAAACAATTATGATAATTAGTTACATATGTTTTTTTTTTTTAAATCACTTTTTAATATTCAATGTTATTGTTATATTAAATTATTTTTAAAAAATATTTGTATGGCTTGGAATAATTTCTCAAAGAATAATACTAGGACTCTGTTTGGTAGATCTTATAACTTATTTTAAGCTACTAATAAGTTATAAAATAATCTCATAGCTTAAAACAAGAGCTTATTTTGGAACGCTACCTTATGTAGCGTTTCAAAATAAGCTTCTAGTTTCCTAACTTTTTTTTTTCATCTTTATCCTTATTATTTTAAAAAAATGATATAATTTACCCTTCCCAATTAAAACCCTTTTCTCTTCTCCTTGCAGCTTTCACCGCAAATATTATTATTATTATTATTATTATTATTATTATTATTATTATTATTATTATGAGATTTGCAACAATATTGCTACTTCATTATGAGATTCTAGATCATGATTATACTAATAGTTTTATTTCAAAATGTTAATTTTTTTTTTTAATGACAAAATGTTAAATTTTAATATGTAAACAAACTAATTTAAATTTTATAAAGATGTCCTTTTTAGTCTTTTTCATTTATCAGCTTATCAAAACGCTAATTTTACCAAACATTTTCAATCATAACAGCTAGCTTAACCGCTATTCAGTTTTCAGCTCCGAGCTTATAACTTTTCAGCTTTCCGCTCATTTTCAGTTTTCAGCTCCTAGCTTATAGCTTTTCAGCTAAGTTTGCCAAACAGAGCCTATATGGACTCCTATTTTATTTATTTATCTTATTTTTGTATTTCATACTATGTGTCATGTTTTGATTGATTAATAAAAGAGATGAACAATAGTTTTTGTTCCTTCTTGTATTGAACATTTAATTACTTGATTTTATTGAAATATTTTCCTTTCAAAAAAAAAAAAAGAGATGAACAATAGTTTTTGTTCATTTATTTTTCTTCATCTAATAAAAATTAAATACTTGGTGGGAAAGTATATGAACAGATACTACAATGTAATAGAGCTAGTAACATTCAAAAAAAAAAAAAAAATACTTGGTGGGAATTACACTCCTCCTTCAATAAAAATTAAATACTTGGTAGAAATTATACTTTATGGGAGTATACGTAGTATTTTCCTTTCTTATTTTTTTTTAAAGGAAATTTTCCTTTCTTAAATTTAGTTTTCTTTTTCATCATTTTAGCTGTAGCAGTAGGACCACTACACTACATCAGTGTTCATTACTTCATTCATTAAATTCTGGAAAGAAATTGTCTCTTAAATTTAGTTTTCTTTTAAATCATTTTGGCTGTAGCAGTAGGACCACTGCACTACATCAGTGTTCATTCATTAAATTCTGGAAAGAAATTGTGTCATGGACTTGCCTAATTGTCCTTGATACTAAAAATCTGTTAAAGTCAACTTTAGTTGGTGAATATTTATTTTGTTAAACGATGCGAATATGATGGCTCATAGGCTTATTAGGAAATTCCTTTTTATGTCTGGTTGTACAAAGTGATTCCTACATCCTCAATTCCTCATCCTTTTCTTTGTAATGATTTTATCATGGATGAAAGTTAATATATGGTGTTTTGGTCTTCCAAAAAAAGATATATTGTGTTTTGATTTTTCAAAAAAAAAAATCAAAAATACTACTTGGACTCTAAAAACCTACTCTGAATTTTTACTCTTACTAAGCACGGCGATTTTTGAAATTTTGTGGTCTCATTCTTATAAATAAATGAGACCCTACCAAAAGTATAAGTGCAACCGTTAAAACCAATATCGTAAAATATATGACTTTTCTTTTTAATTATAAAATAGTTTTGTCATGCTCAATTAATTAGGTCTTAGTTATTAGGAGAGATAAGTGATTTGGGAAAAAACTAATGAGTTTTAGGATTAATTGTAGATTTTTTTTTATTTATTTCTTAAGTGGCTAAGTTAAAAATAAATATTGGGCCTTCTAAAAATTGAGGCTCTGTGCTGTTGCACATCTTGCACGTATACCATGAACCAGAGTATCTTACATTGTAGACTCTGGTCTAAAAATTGTGTTTGCATTTAATATATTTTGTACTTGCAATTAACAATTTATGTGTTTGTAAATAAATTGAAGCACATAATATGTTATCAAAATATACCATGTTATACAGTTAACATATTATGTGTCTATAGTTACCATGTTTTTATGTACCTTAAATTAATTTGAAAACATATTATGTGTTTTTATGTACCTTAAATTTATTTACACACAAACTATTAACTTACAAATATTACCATAATTTGAAGGTTATTTTGAATTAAGATCTACAATACAAGATAGATCTTGGTCCATTGTATAATTTGCATGCATGAGTTGTTATACCATGGACCAGGGTCCACTTTATGACGCATTTTTAGTATTGGAATTGTGAATTTCTAGAATATAGATTGTGTTTCTAAGTCAAAATACAGTAAATTTGTGAATACAATACAAGGTCATCAAAATCCTAATCTGTTAATATTGTGTAACTGCACTATTTGAAAAGAACTTATGAATACAAAATAAGGTAATCAAATTATATATATGTTAACATTGTGTATTTGAAGTATTCAAATTGTGAATTTTTAAAAAGTAAACTGTGAACATTTAGACCCGGGTCCACCTTGTTGGTGGATTAGGTTTCACGGAATAATTTGCCATTGGGAGAGGGTGTCTTTTGTCAAATTATTGTGTGGACCATGGTCTATACTGTGTTGTGTGGACCATAACAAAAAAAAAGAAAGAATACATTTTTAATATATTAAAAGTACATTAATCATGTACTGAATGTACATTATACAAAATAATGTACATTCAATACTCATAATGTAAGTTTCCGGAATATAATGTATATTTTTAATATACAAAAAGTATATTATTTGTGTATTGGATGTAAATTATTTGATAGTATGGTTTACCCCATAATGATTGGTATCTTCTCTCCAACCTCCCTACTTTCAGACACCAAATGAATTCCTTTTCCATTCAGAAACACCACTGCACATAACCAATCAATGCTACGTGAAGAAACTGTCAAGTGCTGCAAGCAGAAATCCATGGATTCAGCAAAGCTTCACATAGCCATGTTTCCATGGCTTGCGTTTGGGCACTTCATCCCTTTCCTCCAACTAGCCAACGATCTTGCAAAAAGAGGCCACAGGATCTCACTCTTACTCCCAACAAATGCTCTGCTTAAACTCAAACATATGAATCTCTACCCACAACTCATAACCTTATGTGCTCTTACAATCCCCCAAGTCGAAGGCCTTCCGCCCGGTGCAGAGACCACAGCTGATGATAGAAGGAACAGTCTTGATGGTTCACTGGAAGTAGCCTTCGATGGATTGCAGGATGAGGTGAAAAGCATTCTTCTTCACATGGAAAAGCCCAATCTTGTGTTGTATGACCATGCTTATTGGATCCCAGAATTGGTATTAGAGATGGGATGCAAAACTGTGCGATTCTCAGTTGTTAGTCCTACCGTATCAGCACTGTCCCTACTCATGTGGGCTATCAAAGGCAAAGGCAGGGCCGTAACGGCTGCTGATTTAATGGAGGCGCCGCCGGGTTTCCCTTCTGATTCCAAGGTTGTCTTGCGAGAACATGAAGCATATCAAGTTTCACGTTTCGCTAATGCACCTACCAACAGGATGAAGGTGTTTGATCGTGTTGGAGAGGCGCTGAAACGGTGCGATGCAATAGCCTTCAGAGCCTGCAATGAAATGGAAGGACAATACTGCAACTACATAGCTACTAAGTTAGGTAAACCAGTCTACTGCACGGGACCGCTATTGCCGGAGCCGCCGAGGGAAGAGGCGTTCGACGGCGAAATTGCGAGGTGGCTGGACAAGTTTGAGCCAAATTCAGTGATTTTCTGTGCGTTTGGGAGTGAATTGGCGCTTCAAAAGGAGCAATTTCATGAACTTGTTTTAGGGCTTGAACTCACCGGCCTACCGTTTCTGGTCGCCGTCAGGCCGCCGGAGGGATCATCGTCTATAGAAGAAGCCTTGCCAGAGGGATTTGAAGAGAGAATAAAAGGAAAGGCAATAGTTCATGGAGGTTGGGTGCAGCAATCTCTGATTTTGAGGCATAAAGCCGTCGGGTATTTCGTGAACCACGGCGGATCTGCGTCAATGTGGGAGTCGTTGGCGTGCCATTGCCGGATAATTGTGGCACCTCCAAACAGATATGACTTCGCTTTGAATGCTCGTCTCATGACGGAAGAACTTGAGGCCGCTGTTGAGGTTCAAACGGATGAAAATGGTAGATTTTTCAAGGAAAATCTGTGCAATGCTATCAAATCTGTGATGGGGGGAAATATCCAGAAGGAGAATCATAAGAAATGGAAGGATTTACTACATAATCCTAACTTCGCAGATGATTACATAGACAATTTCATTCACAATCTGTACGAGCTCTTGGCAAAATAAATATGTAATGCACACACTAGCTATATGCAGAGGTTGGCAAAAGTTTGTTTGTTTGTTTTTTTTTTTTACTATGAGTTAATTACCGTAATTGTCATTGACTATATGTTGTTGTAATAGATGATTTTTGGCTATTGACTGTCGCTATGTATGTTTGTGCAATAATGTATATAAAGATGTGTTTAAAGCATTGTTCTGAGTTGAATATTGTCTGAAATATGGACCATTGTGCCATCAAAATCACATGGGGAGGACCATGATTTTGAAAATTCATTTACTGGAAATCCATGCCTGTGAATTTGTATGGTTTGAATATTGTCTCTATGGGACCATTGTGGCAGCAAAATATAGAGTTTTAAACACATTGGGACCACCCATTTAATGTGCTTTTGAATATTGTGTGTATGTGGACCATTGTTGTATGCAAGTACTGGAAATCCATTTCTGTGTTTGTTTTTTTAACTTATTAGAAAATCCATGTTTGTTTTTGTTTTTTTAACTTATTAGATGTCTGGAATTTATAAAGTTGTTTTGCAGTTATTAAAGTGCATCTTATATACTAGTTAAATCAGGTGGTCAAGAGATTTGTACTTTCAATCTTAAATTAAGGCATGGCATGGTGATAGGATAGAACTAGGCAACCCACCTAAGTATGTGGGAAGCAGTGTTAAGTGTTTTTCTAACATGGATTATGATGAGTGGGGAATAATGACTTTATGGGACAAAGTTCAATAATTGGGATATAAGATTGATGAATGTAGGTGTTTTTCTAAGAGTGATAGTGGATTGGTAGAGTTAGTTTTAGATTTGGATGCTTGGAGCTTGGTTAACTCTATTGTGAGACCTAAGGTATTGGAGATTTGGGTTATTGTAGGGGTGGTTGGAGAAGATGAAAATGAGATTTATGAAGAAGAAAATGATAGTGCAGAATTTGAGTTGGACCAATTTGAAGAAAGTGACTATGAAATTGAGCAACAAGTTGATGATCAAGAATTTGTTAAATACACAGATCCAGAAGTTGAGTATGCAGGTGAGGGAAATCTGGAAGTTGAACATGAAAATGTAAATCAAAGGCCTATAAACAGTGAGGTGAGTTTTTCTGATGAAGGAGGAATTAATTTACATTTTGGTGAGTCTGTTAGGCCTAATCCACCTCCTCCAGATTTGACAAATCCTTTGTGGCTTGGTAGATGTTTTATGGCCAAAGAGGACTTCAAAAATGCAGTGAAGACATATGCTATACAGTATGGAAAAAAGCTGAAATTTAAGAAGAATGATAAAAGGTAAGGTGTGTAGCTGTATGTACCCGAACTGACTGTAAGTGGCAAGCAACCTGTAGAAGAGATCCTGATGAAGCCTTTTGGAGGGGGACTGTTTTCAATGATGTAAGAACAATTTTGTCCGATAAAAAATAATAATATAATATTTATAAAGTAATGTACAATTGTATCATTATAAAAATACATAAAAAAATATTAATACCATAATGACCTGAATCATTCAAATAATACAAAAGCATAACAGAAATATTAAGTTTTGTTCTAAATAATTAAAAGAAGATTAATTAAACAAAAAAAATACTTAACCTAAATTTGTTTTTTGTTTTTTTTTTGTTTTTTAAAAATGCAAGAAAATCAAATGATTTTTAAAATTCCTGTTTTATAATCTTTGATGCTCAACTTTGAATGCTATGTATTTAGTCAAGCTAATTATTTGACTAAACTTTATGTTAACAATTATTCCAACTCTAATTGGGATGAAGTTCGAACTTAAGACTTTTCTTATAGAAATTAATGAGTAAGTTAAGAATAATAAATAGTTAACGGAATATTCTATTACTAAAGTTTATATTAACGGAATTTAGGATTATTTAAGGGAAGAAAATAATATAATAGGGGTAAATAAGGAAAATCATTAAAAAAAAAATACTAAAATTAAAATAATATGAACCATTCATTTTAAGAAACAATACCACCAATATTTTTTTGTTCCAGTTAAAGGCCTAACATTATTGGCTCTTATTAGATTTGTAGATTTATGTGTCTTGTATTGTGAAATTATGTGTCTATGAATGCAAATTATGTATCTAAATCATATTTGAAAAATAAGTAAATATGTAACATGTTTATGTAATTGATCTGGGGCCACCATTGGCTCTTGGATGACTCTGACCTAGGATCCATACTACTATTCTCCAAGATCAGCTTGGCTCTAAGGTTTCTGGCTTGATTGACCAAGCTACTCATACTTGGGATCTATCTATTTTAAGAGATATTTTCTTGCCTACTGATGTGAACCGTATTATCAGGGTCGGTATGCCTAGCCTATGAGGATTCTTAGTATTTATATAGAGACCCTTAGAGTTATTATTATGTGAAAATGGTTATAGATGCATTATGGATGAATTTAGTGGCAGCTGGGGGCTTTAATAAATGGAATTCCCTTTAGGGGTCGTTTGGTTCACGGAATGTCAGATTACCTTAGGGAATGTTAGATTGTTGGGAATGTGAGATTACTGAGAATGTGAGATTCATGTGTTTGGTTAAAATTGGGGTATGTAATATAATCATGTTTGGTTTAGGGTTATCATTTATTCACACACTATAATATCCTTAACATATTTTCATATATTTTAATAAATTTAAAAATTAAAAATAAATAAATAAGATAACGGTATCATATATAATTACATGATTTTAAAATATTAACTAAAATATTGAACTTGAGAAACAAAATTATTTTATATGCTAACCTAACATAATAAAAATAAAAAATATATAATTACAAAAATAATTATATATATATATGTGTGTGTGTGTGTGTGAGAGAGAGATAAACTAACATAACCAAGGTTATCTTACATAACCTTAGAAATTGAAGGGAATCACATTCCCTTCAAAATCCTATGTGGAGGGAATGTGACATTCCTGGGGAATGTTAGATTCCCTGAGTTAATGTGAACCAAACATAGGAATGTGAGCTTTGGAATGTCACATTTCCTTGGTTATGTTATATAACCGGAACCAAACGCCCCCTTAGAGAATTAAAGCCCCTAAATAGAAGACTTTCTTGTGGAGAGCTAATGGTATTCTTCCCACTACTACTAACCATATTATAAGGAGAGTGGAAGTGAAGTGGCGCTTGAAAAGGAGCAATTTCACCAACTTGTTTTAGGGCTTGAACTCACCGGCCTACCGTTTCTGATCGCCGGAGGGATCATCATCGTCTATTTGAAGAAGCCTCGCCGGAGGGATTTGAAGAAAGAGTAAACGGAAAGGCAATAGTTCATGGAGGCTGGGTGCCGCAATCTTTGATTTTGAGGCACAAAGCAGTCGGGTATTTCGTGAACCGCATCAATATGGGAATCGTTGGCGAGCCATTGCCGGATAAATTTTGCACCAAACAGGGCCGATTTCGCTTTGAATGCTCGGCTGATGACAGAGGAACTTGAGGATGCTATTGAGGTCGAAACAGGTGAAAATGGCAGATTTTCCAAGGAAAATATGTGCAATGCTATCGGAGGAGAATCATAAGAAATGGAGAGATTTACTACTCAATCCTGACTTCGCAGACAGTTACATAGATAATTTGATTCACAATCTGTATGATAATTTGATTCACAATCTGTATGATCTCTTGGTAGAATAGAT